GTCTTGAATATTTATAAAAATTCATTTAAAAATACATCAAACTAGTTTAAAGAGAGAAATATTCTACAAGCTGTTTTATTTTTTAATAAACTAGAATAATAAAAGGAATACCATTCTTTAGATTTTGAGTTCATTATGTAACTTTACAGAAAAGATTGGGGTAATATCTATACTGTAAAGGCATTCTACGTTATTCTATTAACATCTTTCTAATACTCTTACAGGGACAGGCACGACATTCTGGGTGGTTGATTTGGGTCTTGAGTATATGTAAACTGTCTTCAGAACTACAAGAAATCACTACTTCTATATATATCTTTTCTATATATCACCACAGTGTATCTTAAATTGACGAGTCATCATTTTAACATTCAAACTTGGATAATTCTTAACGCACATGGATTTGAAGGCTCAAATTTTGAATCACTTTTACTGATTGGCTTATCTAAAAAAATTCATGTTTTTCAGGCTAAAAGTATGTTTGGTCAAAAAGATTGGCGCACCTGTCCCTTAAATGCATTCGCATTCAGATAGATATATGAAGATATATATATATACAAGGGGAAGTTTTCTGGGAACCTGTGGTCATAAGCAAAAAAAACAGAAAATCAGAACTTCTTTTAATCTACCCCAAACTATTTGAGTATCTTGTAGTCAAAACAAATGATTCAAGTGACCAGAAATTACATAAAAACCAACTTCTATACAATCAATACAGAAACTATAGAAAATTCTACTGAAATTAATTTACACCAAATTTTAATTTTCTGATCTAATTATAATATTGTCTGGACCAGACAGACGTCAAAAACAGAATTTTTACATTAATAACTGTCAATATATTATGATTTATTATCAACTGTGGTCTGTTGAATATTGGTAACTTTTAGAGTTTAAATTCAGAGTGGATACTGAGTTATTGGGTATATTTTCAACACTCTGGCATCCTACGATGATACCACATATACAGGGTTATCTGAGGTGGCTATATACTCTATCAACTCCAGTATCAACACTGTACTGAGCTATATACTCTATCAACTCTAGTATCAACACTGTACTGAGCTATATACTCTATCAACTCTAGTATTAACACTGTACTGAGCTATATACTCTATCAACTCCAGTATCAACACTGTACTGAGCTATATACTCTATCAACTCCAGTATTAACACTGTACTGAGCTATATACTCTATCAACTCCAGTATTAACACTGTACTGAGCTATATACTCTATCAACTCTAGTATCAACACTGTACTGAGCTATATACTCTATCTATCAACACTGTACTGAGCTATATACTCTATCAACTCCAGTATCAACACTGTACTGAGCTATATACTCTATCAACTCTAGTATCAACACTGTACTGAGCTATATACTCTATCAACTCCAGTATCAACACTGTACTGAGCTATATACTCTATCAACTCTAGTATCAACACTGTACTGAGCTATATACTCTATCAACTCCAGTATCAACACTGTACTGAGCTATATACTCTATCAACTCCAGTATCAACACTGTACTGAGCTATATACTCTATCAACTCCAGTATCAACACTGTACTGAGCTATATACTCTATCAACTCCAGTATCAACACTGTACTGAGCTATATACTCTATCAACTCCAGTATCAACACTGCACTGAGCTATATACTCTATCAACTCCAGTATCAACACTGTACTGAGCTATATACTCTATCAACTCTAGTATCAACACTGTACTGAGCTAAATACTCTATCAACTCTAGTATCAACACTGTACTGAGCTATATACTCTATCAACTCTAGTATCAACACTGTACTGAGCTATATACTCTATCAACTCCAGTATCAACACTGTACTGAGCTATATACTCTATCAACTCCAGTATCAACACTGTACTGAGCTATATACTCTATCAACTCTAGTATCAACACTGTACTGAGCTATATACTCTATCAACTCCAGTATCAACACTGTACTGAGCTATATACTCTATCAACTCTAGTATCAACACTGTACTGAGCTATATACTCTATCAACTCTAGTATCAACACTGTACTGAGCTATATACTCTATCAACTCTAGTATCAACACTGTACTGAGCTATATACTCTATCAACTCCAGTATCAACACTGTACTGAGCTATATACTCTATCAACTCCAGTATCAACACTGTACTGAGCTATATACTCTATGTATCAACACTGTACTGAGCTATATACTCTATCAACTCTAGTATCAACACTGTACTGAGCTATATACTCTATCAACTCCAGTATCAACACTGTACTGAGCTATATACTCTATCAACTCTAGTATCAACACTGTACTGAGCTATATACTCTATCAACTCCAGTATCAACACTGTACTGAGCTATATACTCTATCAACTCCAGTATTAACACTGTACTGACGAGGTTCAGAAGGCCGTTACAGTTTTGTTTGCAGTTCGTCAAAAAATGAGATAACTTAGTTTATATAAAGATTTAAATCACTTTAACACAGTTTACTACTAGACTGAGAGATTGTAGCTAGAATAGTGATACAGCTAACTTGAGAATAAAACTTGACGAGTATATCCCTTCAGACACAGAGTTAGAAATTTAAGATTAACTTGATTATTATATTATACCAGATCTTTTCAATTCAATTAATTTAGTTTACCAGATTACAGTTGATTGCTCACTCCTGGTAATTAGTCTACAACTGTTCATAAATAAACCAAGTAGTAACGATCCAAACCGCAAAACGAAACCAGACGTCCATAACAACATTTCCACAAAATATTAGTAACAGCTAATGAAGTTTTCACATGAGAAAGTATATCAATTGTAAGTGAGTATTTCAAAATGAAAAGTGATATTATACCTCTATTGAAGGTATACAGAGATCTAAATATTTAATTTACAATCACAGAGAGTTTTATCTCAGCTCTAGGTATCTGTATTCAAATAACTTATAGTGAAATGTATTCATATAAAAATCATATAGCTGATTCTATTACAATCCATCTAAATTAACAATTTATATTTAAATAGATTATAAAATAGTTTGCTAAACTTGTTATGTGTATAGTATTCATTTATTTCATGCTAATTTTCAGTCAGACATCTGTGCTATTTCTACCAAACTAAACATTATATGATATTACTATTGAAAAGGTTCTTAGATACTATATATCATGTTCTGGTATACTGACTTCATAGAATACTTAGTTTTGGTGTTATTGCTAGATCTCCTGATGTCTGAATAACAAATTGGAATGGTGCAAACTGATGCTAACAGTGTGCTCAATACACATATCTTAACAATCAATTTAATATAAGATGAAACCAAGGTGTATCAACTGGTAAAGTAGATATTAGAATTAAACAGTTTAATTTATTGGTTTTACTTTATTTCACTTGAAGATCTCAGTTGTATATAGTGGTCTCAATATTTTATTGATGTTTATATATAACTTGTATATTGGTTTAATTATGATATCTAGACAACTGTATCACTTGAAGATCTCAGTTGTATATAGTGGTCTCAATATTTTATTGATGTTTATATATAACTTGTATATTGGTTTAATTATGATATCTAGACAACTGTATCACTTGAAGATCTCAGCTATATTCATCTCTATCAATCTAATTCAGTTTATTTACCAGATACAATTTCCATTATACCATCATTCAGTCAATATCGCTCCAGAGTAGCCGGTCAATACGGAATTATATTTACAGAACTACTTAATAACATGATGTATACATACACCTAATCTTATTACTCCTCATACAATATATTGTGTATCTACGCCAGATTAAATAACTCATCAATATCTGATGAAGTTTCTAGTCAAATCGTGTTTCTGGTATCGTGTTACATTCTAACCTTCAAAATCTCCTATAAACCAGCCTCTTCCAGTCTAAGTCACATACTAAAACAAATTTGTCATATATTTTGTCTGAGTCAAGGGCAATAACTCAATAATTGTTCATCTAAAAAAAAAAATTCATACCAAGATTTATATTGATAAAAAGCCTGATTCACATATATATAAACAATTATTAAAACATTCCAATCTGATCATTGAAAAAAACAAAACTCTATCAAACAGTAGTCTCTATCAAACAGTAGTGTGTTTAGTCTCTATCAAACAGTAGTCTCTATCAAACAGTAGTCTCTATCAAACAGTAGTCTCTATTAAACAGTAGTCTCTATCAAACAGTAGTGTGTTTAGTCTCTATCAAACAGTAGTGTGTTTAGTCTCTATCAAACAGTAGTCTCTATCAAACAGTAGTCTCTATCAAATTCACTAGTAAATATATAGAGGGGACTACAATATACATCCTCTATATAACATGACTAGAGAGCCGCAGTGGCTCAGTCTATTAGACGCTTGCTCGCTAACCTGTAGGTCCAGGGTTCAATCCCAGCATGAGTCTAGATAATACCTTCAGATTTTCCAACCCAGTTTCCCCCTGTCAGTGAGTTAGATGTCTGCTCGCTAACCTGTAGGTCCAGGGTTCAATCCCAGCATGAGACCAGATAATACCTTCAGATTTTTCAACCTAGTTTCCCCCTGTCAGTGAGTTAGATGTCTGCTCGCTAACCTGTAGGTCCAGGGTTCAATCCCAGCAAGAGTCCAGATAATACCTTCAGATTTTTCAACCCAGTTTCCCCCTGTCAGTGAGTTAGATGTCTGCTCGCTAACCTGTAGGTCCAGGGTTCAATCCCAGCATGAGTCCAGATAATACCTTCAGATTTTTCAACCCAGTTTCCCCCTGTCAGTGAGTTAGATGTCTGCTCGCTAACCTGTAGGTCCAGGATTCAATCTCAGCATGAGTCCAGATAATACCTTCAGATTTTTCAACCCAGTTTCCCCCTGTCAGTGAGTTAGATGTCTGCTCGCTAACCTGTAGGTCCAGGGTTCAATCCCAGCATGAGTCCAGATAATACCTTCAGATTTTTCAACCCAGTTTCCCCCTGTCAGTGAGTTAGATGTCTGCTCACTAACCTGTAGGTCCAGGGTTCAATCCCAGCATGAGTCCAGATAATACCTTCAGACAACAATAAATATCCACATTATAATATACCATATAAAAAACATATTTTACAATTCTCTAATTTATTTTTTACCAATTTCATCTATAAAGATTTCAAAATCCATGAATATATCAGCTAGATCAGATTCAAATCTAGTTTTTTTTTCAACTTTCAGTTCATTTTCATGAATACCAATAAAATTTCAGATTCTGAATCTGTCAAACAACCGAGAAAATATAACTAGAAATTACAGAGATAATAAAAATACTCTCTTTTCCAGTAGATAGTTATAGAATTGGGAAGAGAAATGAAAGAATGGGGGAGGAAAGAGAGAAGATGAGAGAGGGGGAGGGGGTTAAGGGTGAGAGGGTTAGTTATGGTGAAGAGAAAAGGGAGTTATTGGGGGAAAGAATGGAGAGAAAAGAGATGGGGGTAGAATATATAATAAGTTTTGGTTGAAGTCAGAGGTTTAACTATCTTCTATGGTCAATTAATAACTGTCCATGCTTACAATATTTTATATCTCTACTGTTGATAGACAGTTATAATAATAATCTATGAAATAAGATAGAGGTGAACTATAACACTGTATAATTGTAAGATTACTGAATGAGGGCGAAATGAAATGAGAGACGGGGATGGGGGGAGGGGTTGAAAAAGAGGGAGTGTATGAGTGAATCCAGCTTTAACATTAATTTATATCTTTGATGATCCTGTATAGTAATTGAACCTCTGTCATATCAGTTTTCTCTCTTGTCACCTCAATAACTTTCACTCTAGACAGATTGTCTATCTTGTTAGCTTGTGGACGTGTGATTTTGAATTGTCAGATATATATCAGATTTTTCTTGGCTGGTCTTATTTCTGGTCTGATTTCTTAATTTGGCAGCGCCAGCATAATAGATTTAATATTAATATTTGTGAGACTAATATAAACAAACAGGTAAATAATAATAATAATAACGAAGTAGATAAATAAATAACCAGTTAAATAAATAAACCTGGTAAATAAATAAACTAAATAAAGAACCTGTTAATAGACATTGGGGGTGATAAAGATATTTCACTTGGGGGTAGTGGATATATTTTACGAGGGTGAAGTTGTTGAAACCTGACCCTGACAGAAATCAATAAACAATATCATGATTTATAGACCAGACCAAAATAAGTACCAAGCAAAAATTGATAGTGTATACTTAAAGCCAAGACAGACAAGAGGAACTAGTTGAACTGTCTACCAGGAGAGGCTGTCTGCTGATCAACATTCTCACTCCTTCTTTCACTGTAGACGAGAGCTGATCAACATTCTCACTCCTTCTTTCACCGTAGACGAGAGCTAATCAACGTTCTCACTCATTCTTTCACCGTAGACGAGAGCTGATCAACATTCTCACTCCTTCTTTCACCGTAGACGAGAGCTGATCAACGTTCTCACTCATTCTTTCACCGTAGACGAGAGCTGATCAACATTCTCACTCCTTCTTTCACCGTAGACGAGAGCTGATCAACATTCTCACTCCTTTTTTCACTGTAGACGAGAGCTGACCAACATTCTCTCTCCTTCTTTCAATGTAGACGAGAGCTGATCAACATTCTCACTCCTTCTTTCACCGTAGACGAGAGCTGATCAACGTTCTCTCTCCTTCTTTCACCGTAGACGAGAGCTGATCAACATTCTCACTCCTTCTTTCACCGTAGACGAGAGCTGATCAACATTCTCTCTCCTTCTTTCACCGTAGACGAGAGCTGATCAACATTCTCTCTCCTTCTTTCACCGTAGACGAGAGCTGATCAACATTCTCACTCCTTCTTTCACTGTAGACGAGAGCTGATCAACATTCTCACTCCTTCTTTCACCGTAGACGAGAGCTGATCAACATTCTCTCA